ATCTATCAATCAAATCAGTTAAATCATTCTAAATTGCATTGATGATTGAACTTTTAAACATGCTATATGCTGTCAAAGATTATGAACAAAAACACTAAATATTGTCATTAATTATTTCTTAAAGGTCAAGACAGTAGAGAAAATATGATTTTTCTTTTAAACTTTTTGCTAAAATTTGTGTTTTGCTAAAACTTAACATAGGGTTAGTGACCAGAGTAATAAACCAATGTAATCCAGAAGAATGAATCAAAATAAAATATGCCAATGAAGCTTTGAACACATTTTGTCCAAAAAGTTGGTGGATAAAAAATACCAACAAATCTTAGTGTACCTACACAGTATACTTAGCAAATAATACTCACTGTTCTGGCATTTTCTTCATCATCTCTGTACAAGAAAAAACAAAGGTAAACTTATTAGTTTCACACACATTTTAAAAATTCTATTTTGACACACAGACTCAAACACACACACACATTTACTGCTCACTTAATTAGGACCCTCATCAAATGTTGAGTTTACTCTTTTATGTTTTCCCAACAATAAAAGCCTGGACTTCAGCATGACAAAGACTTCAGAAGCTGATGAAAGTATCTTGTTTCACCAAAGAAGTAATACAAATCACAGTCATGCAGTTAGATCCAAATTTCCAACATTTTGAACATGGTTCAAATTGTTATGTTATTATCTTTGAAAAACCTTCATCCATGATAGTGAAGATAAAGCAAATGTGGAGTAGATATAATTGGAAGCAATATCCAGGTAGTCTGTGGAGGTTATTTGCCATTCTAAAGGAATCAAAGGACCTAACAACTGCCACAAGAACTTTCTCACACCATTACATTATCTTTAGCAGTTTGTACTATTAGATCAAAGAAAGCAGAGACAAGTGTCTTGAGGTTTTTTCCCATATTTTCATATTACCATCAGTAAAGGAAAATTGAAACATAATTCATCAAATATCATATCCTTCCAATAATCCATTGACAACAGAGTGTGTTGAAAGTACACATAAAATCGTTATGCCCTGCTCATATTTCTAGGTTCACTGTTTTAAGTCTTGGGTAGGTCGTAACTGCAAATAATGGAAGAAACAGTCATGATACGTATCACAGAGTTAAAACTGGAAATTTAATATGACTAAGTTGATGAAAAGAGACTGGATTCCACATCAAAACAAAGCAAAAACCAATATTTTACCCTATGGCCCTCCAATGTCATTTTTCAAATTCCTCTCTGAATATGGTACTGCATTACCTTCAAAATTTAATTAAATCACTTTATTATCAATGTATGAAAATGAAACTGACATTATATTCTATGTTATAATTTGAATTTTTATGTTAACTGAGTTTTAATTACAAAGGAAACCATTCAAAAACCACTTAAATGGCTGTTTCGTGTCATGAGATCCACATGCTTTGATAAATTTCGACTTTAGAGCCATTTCTCTCTTAGACTAAGAAGCTGACATGTTCAGTAGTTATAATTTTCCTATACTGTATTTCTGATAGGTACTTCCCTCTTCTCACAAGATTAGCTATTCTCCTTTATTGCTGCCCTTTATATGTGAACTTTTTTATTACACATGTCACAAGCCTTCCGCACCCCCTATTGAAATCAAATGATTCCAACATGTCTCTCATGCAAATCATTATGCATCACCTATCTACCAATAGGATCACAGTACACTCACGTGACTCCCTCTATGCGCCTCTACCAAACTATTACTTCGAAGTTTGGCAGATGATGGAAGCACTGGATGTTGGTGGGGAGGAAGGGTGGGAAGTGTGAGTGGACAGAAGTACCTATCGGAAACACATTTTCAATATAATAAAATTATAACAGTAATTCTCTCCACTCACAAGATTAGCTGGAATCCCACATTGATTAAGAGGAGGGACTGGTGTGAGAGAAGAACAGACGTACTTCCCTGAAAGAATCTGAAGGAAACTCCTGTAGATGAAAGTCAGATCCGAAGATCTAGAGAGGAGAACCACACCTCTCCTGATCCAGATGTATTCTTTGCCCAGTTGAGGAATGTGTAAAAATCAGGGTGGAGAGAAAGTGGTAGAAAAGTGATCCTGACCAGAGAAAGATATAGTAACTCAATCCCAAAATAAAAAAGTGGGTAAATGGAGATGTATTCCATGGTGTAGATTGGCTAGTGTGCAGTAGACCATACTTGGCAAGTCAACTACATCCAAAACCTCCTCGTGGGGTACCAACATCTGCTCAAGGGTAGGATGAGGATCATACCACCTTCACCTCAAACTCAATAACCAAGAAATTCATAACTACTTTAATTCCTGGGTATTACACAGGATGAGCTCTGAGGTATTGATCCAGGAATGTGACATCCGGTATCAAAAGGAAGTCTGTTACATACAATCAACTCCTGCAATGAAATAGGTCGGGACCATCCAAAGGGCAATAGCATCCACATAATAAGAGAAAATGAGGGAAAGCCAAGGATAGAATCGGAATAGTCCCATGTATCACAACTGTGACCCACAACACAGAAGGAGGAATCAAGGGAGGAAGATAGACAACCTGAAACCTGTGAGAGGACTTATGTTGATTGGTTCACTCGAAATCCAAAACCAGACTGTGGGGTACTGACATCCATGCAATTATAAGAAGAAAACTCCCAATCAAAGGGGTGAACTGCATTTTGACATTTCACTCCGTTGTATGTATAAATGGAAATTGGAGGATATTATGTCATCTACACTAGAAGAACAACACTATCCTACTCTGAACTGATAGGTTCCATCTTATGTGGAACCCATCCAGCAGGGTGCCTCCATGGTCAACCACACCAGCGGCTTGGCAATGATAAGCGGTAAGGACTCCTATACTTCATTATAAGAAAGGAGGGTGAGAATGCATTGGAGAGCCCAGATAAATGTTGACAACTGAATAAGTGTGCAATGGGTGATCACAAAACCCTATTTTGAAAAGCAGACCATACCAATTTATTGAATCAAGCCATGGCAAAGATGGGCAGCTATCCCCTTCTGCTTTACCCATGAAGTACACGGGTGGTACGGTCTGGGATGGGCCAATTTATGAAGCAAATATCGTGAGGTTATTCACCTATAAGCGATCTTGTGAAACCCCCCCATCTCAAAGGTGAGTGTGTGGAGCCATGAAAAGAAAGCACTATTCAACATGACATATAGTGTGAATTTAGAGTTAAAGAATACCTGGCCAGGCACAACTCACCACATAGCAGGATCCAAGTAAAGAAGGCATGAAAATTGGGCTCCTGAAAGAAAATAAATGATTAATTAAGACTTACCCAGTGTCAGAGTAGCACCAGAGATTGGAGTATAGCTACAGGTGGAAGGCAAAAACCTGAAGAATCCAAAACTGCAATATGATGTAAATAATGGGTTGGTCCACATGCCCAACTGTAGGATTTCCTCCAAAGGCCGATGAAGACGAGAAGCAAGGGAAAAGGTGAAGTGTTGGATTTGATGAGAGGTAATACAGAACAAATTATGGTGGGAAGAGGACAATGAGGAATAAGTCAACTGAGTCAAATGATGAACCCAATTGGTGAGTGTAAAATGAGAGAGATTCCTGGAGAAGAGGGTTGCCAAGGGATAAAGTGACAGGAAGCATGGAAGGAAGTCGTGCGGGCAATAACAACAACAAAGGGTATGCACAGGACATAGAAGTCTATCCAGATCGGGACAGGGGTAGAGATGAGAAATAGAGGATAGGGAAATAGGCAAAAAGGAGAAGTTACCCTCATGAGCCGCCGTGGTTTTGGGGAGGAAGAAACAATCCAGATGAAGTAGAAGATAGGTATGGTGGAAGTAAAGAGGGAGAGAATGTCCCCAGAAAACACCTCAGGATTTTTATAAAGAACCTCAGACAGGAGATGGATTGTGAAAAGTTACTACAAGAGGGTTGTGAGAGTAAGATGAAGGTGAGGAAATTGGGCATGGATAAGACTAACAGGAGATTTGGGGCCTGCCCCCTAAATAGTAAAACCAAACCCAACACTGTTGGTCGAGATATGGACAGTCCAGCCTATGAAATGCGGCGGGGCCAACTGATCCAAAGCCTGTGGGGGAGGAGACATATTAACACCATCACCCAACTGAGAGGCAAATTGTTCAGCATGAGTCCGAATGTCAGGGGACAGAGGAAACAAATAGAATTGGGAAGTATGTTCATGCAATAACAAAGGACACTGGTCATAAGATATAGGAGCAAGGGATAAAACATCACATACCTGAGAAATAAAGTCCAAAAAACAGTGGATGGCCTAACAGAATTCTTAGAGAGGGTATTACAAGGCACGGACAAGTCAGGAAGTGGAAACAGGCAATCAAAGTCCTCATCAACCTGCCTACATTCTACAGGTTCAGGAGGAAGTGGGGCAATGTCTGGAGATAAAGGTTGACCCATATACATAACTAGAATAAGGGTAAGTGAACTGAAATAACATAAAAAAAACTGGGCATTTTAAATTAAATTAAATCACTTTAAGAAAATACAATCTCAAACACAAAAACAGATGAAAAAAGAAATGTGTAAAGTTCAGTATACTCTAATCCCTTATACTGATGGCACACAATGAGACACACATTTAGCATGTAATGCTGTTTGAATACAAGAAGGGAAACAATGCCATTGTAGCCACAAAGAATATCAAAGAAGTTTATGGAAATGTTTTGAACGATCGTAAATGTCAATGATTGTCCAGCATACTTCGTTCAGGTGACTTTAGCCTTAAAAACTGTGATGGCAGGGGCTGACATGTTGGAATTGATATATATATGCTCTGAAGAAGCTTGATAAGTTTGACCCAAGGCAACACACTCATGAAATGGCCCTGAAATTGCATGTTTCTCATAAAACAACACATAAAGATCTAAGGAATATGGGAAAACTCCATAAAGAAGGTGTTGGGGTGCATCATGAACTCTTCGATGATCATCGTTTCCAATGTGTGAATGTTACTTCTTCTCTTCTGGCGCATAATGTGCGCAAACCATTTTTGGACAGATTGTTACTGGTGATGAAAAATGGATTCTCTATGCAAATATTAAATGCCAAAAACAATGACTCAGTCCTAGAAAAAATACTTCCAACCCAAACCTGGACTTCATCCATAGAAAGTGATGCTTTGCATTTGGTGGGACATCAAAGGAGAAATTCATTT